CATTTCGATAATTTGACTGGACGCGACTTGACTGAATCGGAAATATCATGAGTTAGAGAATATTTAATCCTAGATTATTGTTAAAAAGATTATGCATTGAAAAGTTAATACTTTAGTGTATTTGCACTCATTCTATATCTACGTGTAACTTCTAGTATTAATATAGTGTACGAAAAACAGTACGTTTTTTTTGCTTGCTTCATCTTGCTTTTTTCTCTAATCCGCAAGAAAAAACTGCTTGAAAAAGCACATTACTTTTCAATAAAACCTAATACATTTTATTTCTTAAGCTTGTTCAATATGAAGACCGTTGTTTTCGGTAATTTGACTGAATGCAACTAGACTGTAATAGCATGGTGCGAAATCAGTCTCAGAGGCCCAATGTGACCAAAAATCTCAGAAGTTTAAAGGTATGAGTTGAATTAATCACTCGCTAAGTTGATAGGTCGAACAGCTTAGTAGATTGAAGGTAAGAAACAACGGTTCTAAGGTAAGAATGCAGATTCTGTGGAAAAAATGGAGAAAATCTAGAACACTTTATCACTCAAAACCATTTCTGTCATAAACTTTGGTATGACTGATATCGGAGATGGATAACTATAACCTCTGTAAGACCGTCTCCGATACTGCCTTTTGTCAAAGCCCTGAGACTGTGTGATAAGACTCAAGAAAGGGGACACATAATTTTTAAGAGCGAAATGAACTTGCCCCCAACAATTTGCAATTTTTTCAACTATATCATTTTGATGTTTTTTTTAATATCACGTGGTGGCTTTGGTGACTATTGTCGTAATGTCATATCGACACATTAGAACTCTTATTAAAATTTAAAAAACGTTAAAAATTAATGATACAGCCTGCTTGGTTTTAATAAATGTTAGTAACACTGACAGAAATTAAACATGTCGACTAAATGGTTATTAGACTGAAATCAAAAATTTGGAATATTTTTGTGCCAAAAGTTCAACAGAAACTGTTTTTATCATCATTTTTTCGCAGAAAAATTTATGATTAATTTAAAAAAATAAAAAGTTCCCAAATTTATCCATTTCAGTCAAATAAATATCAACTCAACATGTTTAGTTTTTGTCAATAATGACATGTATTGACTATTTCGATTAATGCCTTGAGAACCGTTGCTCGTAGCGATTTTTACCATGAGACATTTTTTACGTAAAAAATCAGGAAAATGTATATTTTTTCAATCAGTAATTTTATACAGGTACGGATGAAACGTTATTACTTTTCAAAACAGTTAAAACACATATAAGTGGAGCCCCCTACAAATAGGAGTCATATTGACATCAAAATCAAATTTCTCATGTCAAAAAATTCCCAGACACCAATTTTCATCCAAATTTTGATGTTACTTCAGAAATTATTTGGATAAAATCGAAATAAAAATGAAACTTCTACACCCTGTATCTCCAAAACTAAGCATTTTCGGACATGCATTTATACGAACTTTTTAACTTATTTGTATCTGCAGAATATGCTGCCGAAGTTTCCGGAATGTATTCCGGAAACTGTAGTTCGGACCACCCTGTATAACATTTTAAACTAAACCGAAAATTTTTCCGTTACGTTTTTTTACGTCTGAATGTATAAAATGGATATATAAGGTAATTAAAAAGTTACTTACATTAAATTTCAAAATACTGCACGCACTGTCGAGCTTCGCGTAAACGCGCCCCAATAACTTTAATCACGCTTACAGAGGAACTTTCAAAACAGACGCAGCCGATGGATTTCAATCGTTGTGCTAGTTATCCCAATAAATTGGAGCGTCGCGACGCGCGGATTTTACACCGCGATAGGGGAAAAACGATGATGACGATGTTCGGCGTCTCGTCACCGACGTTGATATACGAGGAGCGGACTTCGCGCCACGTGTTCCGCCGGTTTCGAACACCCCCCCTCGATGGGATAATAATGTCGGGGGTGGAGTCTGGAATAGGGAAAAGGCGGGAACAGCCACAGGTGACGCGGATTCTACGAGGCAGGACTGAATCATTTTTTTTATTTCGTACTATATACATAGTACAGTCAATCTGGCATCAATAAAGGTCTAGACTCTAGACGTGGGCAAAGATAGAAGAGTCGTTCATTTGAACGAGTATTAAAACTGAATCGTGAGATTCAATTCACTGCTTCGAATACGGTTCGTTCAAATGAATCGTAGCCAGCACTGATCCATACCATTTAAACGATAAGCCGTAAAAAAGAGTCGTAAAAATTGAATCGGATCACACTGCGATCGTGCGTTCAAGGAGTCGTGAGAATTGATTAATTGCTTACAATACGGTTCGTCCAATTAAATCGTGGCCAGCACGGATCCATATAAGATTTGAACGATGGCCCGTAAAAAAGAATCGTGAGAATTGAATCGGATCACAATGCGATCGTTCGTTTCTACGGCGCCGGCGCACAGTAGATCGACGCAATGCAATTTGCTGGACATTCAGCAATTATGCAAAATTTCTAACTTAAGACATTTTTTTGAATAAATGTGATTTAAATCTTCAAATTTGTTAAAAATAGTCATAACTTTATTATAGATAACTTACTGAATAGTGCAGGGGTGTTTTCCAGAATAGATATTTTATTTGAATTTCCGTATTAAATTGACTATTACAAATTAAACTGCATAATTTCATACTTATTCCAAAACTTAATGAACTTTTTATCATATTTTTATTTTATATGAATTATGACCTTGCGATTTGTCCAGTTCTTTAATACCAACATGTATTCAATAACAATAATTCCTTAATTATTGTATAGTGTATCAC